ACGCTGCGCCCAGTCCCTGGCCAGTCGCGTCTGGGCTGCTGCCCAGCTGGTGCTATCGCGCGGCGGCCCCGGGCGGAGGCATCGGCAGCCCAGCCCCGTTCGTTCCCCTGCGGGACCCGAGCGGGACGGGGGGTCTGGGGTCTGCTGCCCCCACTCCGGGGCCGCCGCGCGATAGCACCAACTGGGCAGCAGTCCAGACATGACTGGCCAGGGGCTGGGCGCAGCGTGCGCGCTGCTGGGTCCCCGCAGCAGGCCCGGGCTCGGGAGGTTCGGGGGCGCCAGAGCCGCAGCTGCCAAGCGCCATGGCCGCTTCCTCCCCCCGCGGCAGTGGGAGCTGCAGCAGCGGCTGCTCCTGAGTCCCGCTGCCCGGGGGGGAGAACAGCCAGCGCCTGGCCCCGCGGGTCGCCCCCTCCTCTCCCAACCACCCAACTGAGTCCTGCCTGCTCGGGACCAGGCCGGACTCTTACTCACCCTGGCCCCGTGCTTCCCCTGCGTCTCCCGGGCCTCCCTCCAGCGCTTGCGGAGGAAGGTTGTTTTTTTTTTGGGTCCACGCCCCCCGCCGCACCACACCCCCGCGTCACACCCCCACACACACCCCCGCGTCCCGATATTTGACTTGGGTGATCTGGTCACCCTAAGGCTGACAACTCGCGACCCCCCCATGTAATAACCTCATGACCCCCTGAGGGATCACGACCCCCAGTTTGAGAACCCCTGTTCTAGGGTATTTGTTATGAAGACACTATCACTACTTCACAGGACTCTTTCAGATATGAAATACAACATTGCATGCATTATGCCATTGTACTAGCCATATAAAATAGTGGTATTACAGTTCTCAGTGTCTCAGTTTCCCTACCTGTAAAATGGGGGAAATGATACTGACATCCTTTGGAAAGCACTTTGAGATCCACTGAAGAAAAGCATTATATAAAAGCTAGGTATTATTATTACAATCAATAAAACAGTTGGTATAGTTTTATGTTCAATCCATCTTCTGGTCATTTTATCAGAATAATATTGTCTTGTCTACTTAGCCCTGGTCTACACTAGGAGGGGGCGATCAATCTAAGTTATGCAACTTCAGCTACGAGAATAACGTAGCTGAAGTCGACGTACTTAGATCGACTTACCGTGGTGTCTTCACAGCTCCCCTGTCAACTCTGCCTGCACCTCTCGCAGTGCTGGAGTACAGGAGTCAACGGGAGAGCGCTCAGGGGTCGATTTATCCTATCTAGACTAGATGCGATAAATCGATCCCCGCTGGATTGATTGCTGCCCGGGATAGTGTGGCCATAGCCTTAGACTGTAAAAGGTCAAGCATGTGGTCTGTGTGCTAAATAAAAGCATCCCACTGAACCCTTCTCCACCTTTTGGGACACCATCCTCGGTGAGAGAAAACCCACAGCCAGCTAAGAAAGAGGCAAGAAACAAATATTAGGGCAAAGTAATACTAGTTACCCTAAGCTAGTGGCGCTCAACTTTTCAAGACTACTCTACTCCTTTCAGGAATCTGATTTGTCTTAAATACCCCAAGTTTCACCTCACTTAAAAACTACTTGCTTACAAAATCAGACACAAAAATACAAAAGTGTCACTGCACACTATTACTGAAAAATTGCTTACTTTCTCATTTTTACCATATATTACAAAATATTCAATTGGAATATAAATATCGTACTTGTATTTCAGTGTCTAGTATATAGAGCAATATAAAACAAGTCACTGTCTGTATGAAATTTTAGTTTGTACTGACTTCACTAGTCCTTTTTATGTAGCCTATTGTAAAACGAGGCAAATATCTAAATGAGTTGATGTACCCCATGGAAGATCTCTGCGTACCCCCAGGGGTACACATGCCCCTGGTTGAGAACCATTGCCCTAAGCCCTTCTGTGTACTGAGCAACTCTGCCCACATTTGCCAGTCATACTGGCACATAATAAATGATGTTAAAATCCTGAACTGTTTAATTTTCTTTAGCATTGGCACATGGAATACTGTTTCTACTCCCTGGCCTTTCTAACCAATGCCAAATGCCGCCAGAGGAAACAATATGCTGTAAGACTGAAGTGGCCTTTGCACCAAGAACAGAACTTGTAACTTCTCTATTCACACCACACGGATGTAAGAGCAGTTACTCTCCAAACTCTCAAAGCTATCACCAGCCAGAGGGTATACTGCCGGGGGCATAGTCTTACAAACAGCTTTAGGGACTGGATGAAAAGAAAATTCATAAAAGGTTTATGGTGTGTTTGGGGCTCATTCTCTCTTTAAAGTGAATTGACCAAAACCTACTGCAGCCCACTCTATCCAAAGCTTCATCTGCCCCCTGCCAACAGCCACTGTGCTCCCCTGGAGATTCTGTCAGAGGTAACAGTTCAGACTCTGTGATGTTTGGACTCTTGACTGACTGGGGCACCCACTTAAAGCCAGTTGTGACATGGTTGCTTTCCATGCTGTGAAATGATTTGAGATCCACCAAATTCATGTCACCCTCGGCAAAAAAAAGAGTCCTCCGATGGAGGTAACTTTCAGTCACTACTGCCCAGGGCTGGAGTATTATTAAGATGGCATGTGAGGCCCAGCCCCAGGCACGCAGCTGGCATGGGAAATGCTGAGGTTCCTCCTGCCCACTTGGTATTTCAGGTCTCAGGCACATGTGCCCTTGACTTTAAATTCTAAATGAGGGAATTAATATTTTACCCTGAACCTACCACCTCTAAATCCCCGCAATCTACCCTACCCCCTCCAATGCCCTCCCCACAACTTACCCTGCCCCCAACCTACCTACCCCCCCTCCTTCCACTCCCCACATCCTACCCTACCCCCTCCAATGCCCTCCCCACAACTTACCCTGCCCCCAACCTACCTACCCCCCCTCCTTCCACTCCCCACATCCTACCCTACCCCCTCCAATGCCCT